TGAGTTTGGATCTGAGTCTGGATTTGAGTCAGTCTGGGTTTGAGTCTGGATTTGAGTCTGAATTGAGTCAGTCTGGGTTTGAGTCTGGATTTGAGTCTGGATCTGAGTCTGGATTTGAGTCAGTCTGGGTTTGAGCCTGGATTTGAGTCAGTCTGGGTTTGAGTCTGGGTTTGAGTCTGGATTTGAGTCTGGATTTGAGTCTGGATTTGTTTTTTTCTGAAGGGAAAAGGCAGGTTCCAGCCCACCCTATTTGAGTCTTGTTTTGTTTTTGTTTGAGTCTGTCCTGAGTAGACCTGTTCTCCTGAGTGTGGATTTGTTTTTTCTGTTTGTTTTTTTGGATTATTTTTTGTTTTTTATTTTTTCAAGGATTTTGGCTCTGTCTGTCGAGTTCGGGCTCATAAGTATAGAGGTGAAAAGGGATTGCAAATTCCACACCAACAAGGACAAGCTACTCCCATCAGGAGATTTGAACATGTTGAGTGCTTCTGCGCTGGCTTGACATGTGCCATCCTTTCTCGGTGGGAGTACCTCTTCATCCTTATTTTGTAAAGGGATGAAGCACTAGCCCATGAAAGCAAAATTGATCACAAGGTCAAAATGTGCACTCACGCAAACCAAACTGTGTGAGCTAACAAGGAAAGATTCTTCCAATAATAACCATTGCTGCGGTGCGGTTTGTCTTTGCTGGAGCTTCTGTGGCTGCCTGTTTGCTGTCCATACACTGGTTGTGTACTAGTGCAAGTTGCCCTTTCTGCGCTGTCTTTGTGGGATCTCTGCCCAGTAGGTGCTGGTAGGGAAGGCTCTGGTTCCTTGGGCATTGGGGTTTGAGATGGCAAACTGCCACCATCACCATCCTTCAGCGCTTGCTTCATTAAGCATGGTTCCATCCATTGATACACGCGCAGCGCTTGCTTTGTTGGCTTTGCTTGGTGAAACTAGCTCACCACCTAGGCCTATTGCAATTTGTTGTGTTGGAGCAGGGGTAGCACCGGGTTTCAGGGATGGAATGTTGCTGCACAGGGGTAGTAACTTGTTGGGTTTCAGGGACAGCAGCAAACTGCTGAGGGGTAGCTGGAACTTTCTCCACACGGGGTAGATAGAACTTCTAGGGCTTCAGGGACAGCAGCAGCAGGCTCCACAGGGGTTGGTGGAACTTCTTGGGTTTCAGGGATGTAAGCAGGGTTTGGATTTGGCGGCAAGTTCGCACTAGCATCAGCTGCAGTTATGTCAGATTTGGAGTCTAAATATATAAAAGCACGACCTGCTCCAGTAGATGGTGGAACTCAACCCTGTCGATCCGCGTGACGTGAGGTGGAGTGCCAAGTCCTCGAGAAGGAGGCGGGGTCTTGAGCATCTGGTCGTTCCCGGTGCGTAGCAACACTCTCTCCAAGTCAACCTTCGGCAAACCAGCCGCAAATGCCCCAGCAGCCCGAGGTTCATTACAGGTACCTCCGCACCATGGATCTACGTCCACAAGACCAGCTGTAAAAGAAAAGGAACAACGAGAGAGATCTAGAGAGCTGGTCTACTGTTGGGATTCTATTGTCTTCATGTCGGGGTCCTCTATATATATAATTATATATATATAGAGATGCCTGGAGTCAGTCAACACTCATTTGTCCAGGCATGGTTGGATCCTATAGGTTTCCTTCCAGAACCCGTTGGGGAGGGCTGGTTGATGTTGGGCAGGTGGCATGTTTACCTGCCACCACACACAAGATGCATGCACAGAAGCCTGCTTTGACTTGACTTGAAAATGGCCACTATTTAAGCAAACGTCCACAAGTGGAGAGAATTGTCAGCCTTGTCAGCGGAAGATCAGGCTGTCCCTTCAAAAGACCCGTTCTCCTCCCATCAGGTGAGATGAGGCTACCGCATGTTTGGTTTTTGACATGGATCGTATGACCTTCTTAACATGGATCGTTTTGAACATGGTTTTGGAATTTGGTTTTTGGGTTTTCTGCCCAAGCTTTGCCTCGGCAATCTGGGGGGGTCCGTCGACTTCAGGATGGCAACTGCAACTGCCTAGGGCCTAGCCGAAGGCACGGAGTTTACCGTCTACTCTGCAACCCCTTGGTTTTTTGAAACGGGCAGGGTTGTGGGCCCAATTTCTTTACTATGGGACCGACAATCTCTCAAAGCTATTGGAAAGTTTTTTTCAGGTCAAACCAGGTGAAGAAATGCCTCCCGGAGGAACCTGCCAACAATATGAAAGCAGAGCTTCCCGGCTTCCCCCAATTCGTTCAGTCAAGATCTGAACTATTGAGAAAAAGTCAACCGTCCTCGATCGTCAACCAGTGGTGGGCATGCAGCCATGTGCAAGTTTGGCCTCAGCTGCTACGAAAGCTTGAACAGGTACATGACCGGGGCAAACCACCTGCAAGTTTTCGAGTTTTGGAAGTCAATGCCCAATGGATGTGGCAGCCTTTAAGGGAGTAAACCTGGTTCTTGAACCAAACATTGTTTTCTTTCAAACACAAAGGCTAAGAGTTTGCAAGGGTTGTTCTGGATCTCATCGCGCTTGATGTCCTTCCCACCTGATTGCAAACCGATTTGGTTCAGGAGCAGTTCTACCACAATATGTTTTCAAGAAACTTATGTGTTCCTTCTCTACTTGTACTATTTCTCCTCTTTCATCTTCTTCTTCTACTAAATCCTCCTCTTCCTCTTCCAAATCTTCCTTGCTAGGCTTCTCTGGCAGCTGGATGTTAAGGTCCGCTATGAGGGCTCGGAGCCCAGGATCTCCGGGAACATGAGGTTCCCGGCATATTCCATTACTTGGTGAGGCAATATGGCAAAGCGATAAGACATTTGGGTCACATCAAGTAGTCATATATATATATATCTATACACATAAAACTTTAGTAGATCGATCGATGTTATAGCTGAGGATCGGATTGGCACCTCGCAGTACTCATAGAAACTCTCAACGTGCACTTCCAGCGTTGGGACTGCGATTCGGAACCCCACCCTGACTGTGTCACAGCATACTGTCGAGCCAGTCGCGTTGACCTAAGTTGAACCAAAGTTGAACCGCCATGATGAGCCATGCCTGCAGGCTCTAGAAAACCTGCTTGGATCAAACAATGTTTCATGACTCCATCTCTGAAAACTGAAGACTCTAAGACAATCTAGGGTGCAGACTAGTGCATATTGTTTCGCGGCACGTCTGAGGTCAAGGCATCTTTTCTTTTTCATCACACACAATGTCTTCCACACGCAAAGAAACTATGGGGTTTTACGGTTTGACCACCCCACTCAGCGAGCCCAAAAATGTTCCATTCATTCTTCTTGTTACTAGTAGTAAGAATGCTACTAGTAGCGATGCCAGGAGCCCCTAGTAGCATCCTTGCTCCTAGTAGTAAGGCCAGGAGCCCCTACTAGCGTCCTTGCTCGTGTGGTAAGGCCAGGAGCCCCCAGTAGCGTCCCTGCTCCCGGCAAGGCCAGCCGCCCCTAGCGTCCTTGCTCCTAGTAGTAAGGCCACGAGAACCTAGTAGGCGCTAGTAGTGTCTTTGTTTTAGAAGCCCCTAGTAGCGTTTTTGATCCTACTATCAAGGCCAGGAGCTCCTAGTAGCGTCCTTGCGCCTGGTACTAAGGCCAGTAGCGTCCTTGCTCCTAGTAGTAAGGCCAGGAGCCCCCACTAGCGTCCTTGCTCCTAGTAAGGCGTCCTTGCTCCTAGTAGTATGGCCAGGGGCCCCTACCAGCGTCCTTGCTTCTAGTGGTAAGGCCAGGGCCCCTAGTAGCGTCCTTGCTCCTAGTAGTAAGGCCACCGGCCACCAAGTCGCCACTTGAAGCGCGGTGAAAACTCACATCACGCGATCCACGAACGAGGGCGGTCAACCGGGATCATTTCTCGGTTGATCAAGAAGATCCACCAAGGCCTGCCGCCTGGCGTGAGAGAACACTTTCCGGCTACTCGACGCTTGGTAAAGAATATTTGCACTTGTCATGTCAGCCAGAGTCACATGTGACAAAAAGATCATCCTCATGAGCTCCATGAAGTGCCCACTGAACCCCAAGCCTCCAAAAGCGGTGCACATGTGGGGCAGAACCTGCCAATGCAATCCGAGGATTTAACAACTTTCCTGACGGATGCTGATGCCAGTGATCATGCAAGATGACTCACCCCAAGCGCCTGCTTGATTCCATAGCCTGCATACCAAAAAGCCAACACATGCAGTTGCGATGTGTAGATGTCATATAAGCTAAAGCTGCAGTTGCGTAAGCTCTGCGGAAGCTTTCGCGGAAGCCATGTGTTGTGACATATCGAAGTTTTCAGAAACGCGGAGATAGCTTTTAAGCGCTTTTGACACTCAGTTGCTTGGTGCTAGCTAGCTAAGCATTGTTCAAATCATTTCTCAGCAAAGCAACTGCCAATCATGAATGTGGCAATGATGAGTCGGTTACTTGTCTCATGTAGGTTTCCAGGGGGGGTTCAATGTTGTTTAGCGCGTGACAAAGCAGACTTGGGCAAGGTCTTTCAGGTGTTTGTTCACCTCTTCCAAAGGATGAATCATTTAGGTCTAAATGATCAAAGGCTGGTGGACTGTGAAGATTGAACGCAGGCAACGAGAAGATCGGAGAATCAGACGGCGAGAGCATTTGGGGCAGCACGATGTAGCAGCGCTGCAGCAAGCGTTCTTAAGTCAAACAGGTCGGTCCCACAAGCCTCACAGGCATCAACCGCAGTGGCATGCTGGTCCACGCCTTTGACAGGCACCGGTGCGAAGACTGGAGAGGTCTTTTCAGGTGTCCTGGCAGTTCCTACTCTGAAGTGTTTCGTGCTACATCGGCTGCTATGCTACGTCGGCCGACTAGGGGCAATGCTTTTTGGTCGGCAGCGCCTCCACGTGATGTTTGCATGTCCAAAAAAGGACGCTTCGTTCGGGTCACCCGAGGTCCGAACACATATCGATGTGGCGTTCGATGATCATGACACGCCTCTTGTTTTCGCGGACCGGGCCGGCTGGGTTGATGCTCGCGAGTGATGGACACATCCGATGCGCGTGACTCGAGATGTGCATGACTCGAGCGAGGGCAACATGTCTTGCAGGCAGGAAGGCCCAGGTTGGAAGCTGCGCGCGGCGGAAGGAAATCGACCCGAACATCCAAAGGCAGAAGAGAAGAACCAGTGCACTGCACACCGCATGGCATTCAGCGGCATTTCAGCATCCTGGATGGCCACAGGTGAGCCTTGGTCGAAGACTCCGTGCAACCGGAAGCAGCCACCGGGCATGCCGGCGGTCTCGGCGAAAGCTGCCAAGACCCAGCCCGCGCGCTGTGCGCCACAGATCGAATCACCCGCGCCGGAGGTTGAATTTGACGATTTCGCTGCGGAATTTGCGGCCACAGAGCCAGCGATGTGGAACGGGCCTTGTACAGCTATTGGCCATGGCTTCTTTACATGCACAATGTGCAAACATAAAATTTAGACTGTAAGTAAGCAAGCCTTCACTTATATAGTAGGTAGTCAAGTCTTGATTGAGTAATTGACGGACGTCTTCCAGAGCATGCGCAGGCCAAATCTATGGGCATCACTTGTTGCCTAGACTTTACTGAGTGCGGTTCTTCGTTCAAGCTTGTCGGCAGGCATCAAGATGATAAGTCTACCAGTTGCAAGGCTAGATTAAGTGGTATGAGTTTGGAACGTTTTGGGTTTGAATCTTAATTTGGTCCCTGACCAACACCTGACCCTTGTGCCACTGGCTCATAACCTTGGCTACTTCGCTCCGTGAGTGTTTGGCCCAAACGCCAAAAAGAACCTGGGAGAGGAATGCTGACAGCAGTTTGGACCAGCGATTGTCTTACATTGGTCATCATTGGCTTTCCATTTGATGCGCAAGATGATGACGGCCGATTTGCCGCGGTGTAGACTGAATAGGTGCGTTTCCAGTGCCCGGCTGAACCAAAACCGGCCCTATCCCATAGCAATATTGTCGAGATCCTTCTGAAGCTGAGGCTGACAACAGCCTGCGGCTCGAGTTTGTTTCGAGCAACGCCAAATGGTTTTACAATCCATGGCCTATTCACCGGGGCCTGAAGATTTGTGTCAAAGAGGAATGTGAGGGAAGGATGGAGAGGCCACGGGCTCTCTGGGTCAGCAAGGTCTTGGTAGACGGTACTCCGATGGTCAACAAGCCTCACTCCACAGTGAAAGACATGCCTTGAACTGGCACGGTTGCTTGCTTAGTTGATGTAACTCATAATATTTCATATTGTTCATGTTTGTTCATTTGATCCACCCATCTCCACGTGGGCGCTAGCCCGTGTTCGCTAGCCTCTGTTCTATTGGATCACGAAAGGGGCCAGGGGGCAAGGCCTGTGGATTCGCCTGGATCATGGTCATGTCTGAAGGTCTTGTTACTAGTAGTAGCGATGGCCTCCAACCTAGCCTCCACCTAGTAGCTCAGATGTTCAAGCTATTCGCGAAAAACGTCCTCCATCCCAGATGCCTTGGAGTTGGGAGACTTTTTCTGAAAACACGGTTACCATAAGTTTGATCGAACACGTTTCATTTGCTGCCACGCTCCTATAGGCGCCTATATTATTTCATTTCATGGCTCTCTGAACTGTACCGTCTCGCTCATTGCTTTCATGGAGTCACATAATTTTGACTCTGACATCGTTGCACTTACACGCCAGGCATAGCAAGTGACTTCGTGTCAGTCAGCACCGAGCAGGCGCAATCTCACGCGAACGACCACAACAAATTGAATCAATGAAATCAACAGAGGTGGCTGGATAACGTTCCAAATTCTGGTGTTCAACGCCTACTTAGGTGTCACTTTTGAATTTGTAGTTGATTATAAGTATGGTTACAAAATCTACAAAAACTATTTCATAATTTTTGTAAATTCCAAAAAACTTGTTTTTAGTGTTTCTAAAATTATGTTTTTTGAGTTTGTTGTGCTATGAAATGCAAAAGGCAGATTTTGAAGAATGGTGATTGCAAATATCTGTGATTAAACTGTGAGCAAGCGCCATTTTGGTTGTTGCAAGCGTGCAAAGCCGACTTTGTGAGATATAACTGCACCTTTTGTGCTTCTTGGCGACGCAACCTTTCTCTGGCTTTTGAATTAAGAAAGGTCAGCCTTGGCTGAAAGTTTTTGTTTGTGCTTCTTGGGTTTGTTGCACTTGCTAACTTTAGTATCATAGCATAGTATGGATGTATATCTATGTAGCCGCACGTCTGAATAGATATGTGGAATGGTATGGGAATGGTATGGGAATGGTATGGGGTGGTATGGGGTGGTATGGGGATGGTATGGGGCTGGTATGGGGATACCTTGGGTGGTATGGGAATGGTATGGGGATGGTA